GGGTCGACCTAAGGAGGAACGTTTAGGAACCGCGTAGACTATGGTCGCATGGTGCCTTAGAGGCGATCGCTGACGGGATCGTCGCAGTTCGCGTAAGGTTGGTTACTACATTGGTTTGGATGTCAAGCGCTGTTATAGCAAAGTTGCAATGCAGAGACCAGCCTTCGTAGCTGCGATGACGAAGCGCTAGCTGTGAACGCCTGCAGTTGAGGCGAATCATGTGAATGTGTGTTTATTTAGTTGCATGCATTAGGCATGTACTAGCCTGCTTTTGACTAAAGTTTACCTGACCGCTGGGTTTATTCCTCTACGCTTCCCTCGACATTTTCTGTTCTGTATTGGGGTATCGTGCAGGGAATACCTTTAAAAGAACGTTATTTCCGAGAGGAGTTTTCAAATTACTAAAACGACTATATATTTTGATTGATTTGATGCTGGCAGATTGGCTTCATAATTTACTACTATAAAGTTGTCCTCCCTTAAGAACGATTTCCAAAAATTAAAAAAACCGAGAACATACTTCAATTTCTATGAATCAATATAACAATTGATTGTGACGTAACTCTATGAAGAGAACGACAATTTGAAACCAACCCTCAAGATGTAAATTAGGAGTACCGTGCAAATTTTATACCCACGGTAAGACAAGCGATGCTTGACGAATTACTAAGTTATTTAGAAAGCAAGTTACGGCCAAAGCGCGCTCGACATAAGGGCGGAGTTTAATCCGATTTAATTCCAAGAATTTCAAAGCCGAATATAGCTTCTCGGTAGGGCACTGACAAGCCTTGATGGCAGACAAGTTTTAGGCAAAACAAATCCCAAGTGTCTGCCGCTCAAACCTTGAACTTCATTTAATGCACTATGGACCCTGGAGGCAATAGAAACGCTCGGGACCTTTGGTATTTTTACTGGCAAATGTTAAGCATGAGAAGTGACCATCTGAAATCAATTTCCAATAAGCGCTCGCTGCGCAGCATCACTAGTATTTTTTGGTTTTCAACCTGGGACAGGTGGTCTCGCCTTCTAACAGTCAATTGCTATTCGTGAATACGCGCAGAGGCAGATTTTCCAGCCTGATCACAATAGATGTCATTGCACGCGCCACACTGGATCTTTTGGACAGCTTCTTACTTGTCGTCATGCATATCCTGGCTACCGAGCAAACATTCGCGTGGGGAAAACTGCGTCGTCTGCCCTTTCAGGAAAGGCCGTAGAGGCCTAGATAGCCAGGCACTCAGACAGATAATGCATCAATCGGCGTATATATCGACCGCGAGTTAGATGCCGCGTACAAAAGTCTCCAGCAGAAATGGGAGAGAGACGGCAGCCAATCCGAACGGGATGAGACACACGACGACAGCCTACTGGCGCAAGCGCTACGTCCCCATCGGTTTGTCTGTGTTCTCACGATTTTAGTTGCTTCATGGTGCTTTAACTTTACTCTGCGTCTGACGACGAACTAGGGAGCCAGCGTCACAATAACGTATCATTCCTAAATAATGTACCCGACACCAACTTATAATTCTACCGTTTAATAGATGCGTGTATAAAACATGCCTATATATAATCCAGACCTGTGGCTGGGAGTGACGGTTAAAACGGTTATCTGTGTTAGTACTTACTTGTACTTGTTACGGCTGTGATCATGCCTGATCTAGCCGGCC